GTGCATCTGGCCATGTTTGAGCAGAAAGTTCGTTCTCATTTTGCACATTTCGAGAGTGGTGTGCAGATGCCTTATGGCGGTGGCGGAGTAAACATTGGAAGGCCTTATCCAATGAAGCCTTTCACTGGACGGATGACTGGATCGAAACAGGAGTTAGGCAAAGATTAATTGAGAAGGATCCAATGGTTTCAAACTTGTAAATCTAAACCAGCAAAGGTAACCTCCTTACAATGGCAAATTGTTCACCGATGCCTTCCAACAAATGACTGGATCATTGACAGAACCTCATTAGAACGAAAAGGGATCGCTCAACCCTGGTGCAAGTTTTGTAAATTTGCATTCCCATCCAAGCTCATACTTGAGACAATTGAGCACATTTTTCTCCAATGCCCAGGGTCAGTCTGGCTTTGGCGGTGGTGGGATAGGATTTGGAACCAATTGGGCACCACCCTCCCCTGGCCCTGGGAATGGAAAGACCTCCTCCTGGAAGATTGGCACCCAGAGCAAGTCGATGAGTTCACAATTAACCTGTTCGTGAATGGTAGAAGAGCAATTACTTGGACAATCTGGTTAAGAAGATGTACTTATGAAATGGAAGGCGCTCGCCTGGATGGCCCTGAATTTACTGAGAGTATTAAACTACATGTTCAAACATATCTGACTATTAAATGGGAAAATGTAAAAGAAAAAATCCACTATCTATCATTACAAAATGAGATCTGGTATCACATTATACAATTCAATAGAAGTTGGCTTGGGGGGGACCAGGGGGGAGGCTGGGGAAGGTGGTGTGGGAAGGAGCACATGAAGATTCACAAGAGTGTTTCCAAAGGAATTATCGATTGGTCTTTAATGATTGGAGTGATGTTGATTCTGCTATACCTCTAAGACCTTTATCGGATTTCCCAGATCCCTTTCCCCAACCAGGATCTTGTTTGGTTCCCTCTTCGTGGTACAGGTAAAGAAAGAAAATGTCCTTCCTGTTTCATATTGACAATAATAGTAGGATTCTGTGCTTGATTTGCAAGAATTTTTTGGCGCCCTGGTGGGGTGAAGAGGCACATAATTTCTATTCTCAATTCCTAAAGGGACGCTGGGCCCGGTTTCCAGCATGTTCAGTCTGGCTACTCCGAGTAGACTGTGAGGACCCCGGCCTCAATTTTCTCAATATCAATATCAGCCTTGGGCACTGGGCCCCTTTAAAAAAAAAAAAAAAAAAAAAAAAAAAAAAAAAAAAGTCATCTGCTATAACCTTTTTTTTTTTTTTTTTTTTTATAGAAAAAGTCCAGGGTGTTGTAGAGGTCGGTTTTCTGGACCCACGACAGGTACCTATCTACAGTCAGCAACTAATTTATGGGACCCAGACCATCCTATCTTGGAGGATCCCCCTCAAACAACCCCTACTGCAGGTTCCCCAACGATTTCCTCCACCAAAGTCTGTCTACTAACACCTCTCCTACGGGGATCCCTTAAGACAATCCCCTAGTGTAGGTTCCCCACTGATATCCTCCAGCAGAGCTTGTCCCAAGCCAACCCTCCCCCCAAACGGGACCCCATCCCACCTCAGGTCCGTGGCCCCCCCAAAGCAGAGTCTAAGGTAACCAACACACATGAGCAGTCTAACCACAAACCCGTACCTGCATCCTCATTAGACTACTAATTGTATCAGGCAAACCCCTCATAGGCCAGGACCCAACATACAACACCATGGACAGTCCCCTGGGTGATGCGCATGCAGTGTCTGTAATAGCTTATCATGCGTCAGCCCAAGGGGTGTATGTCCAGCCGTGCGTCATTCTAACGCCCTGCCGGTGTCCATGCGTGAGGCTGCGAATTTGAACCCGCAACCACATACCACAATGCGCATTTCCAACCGGTGATCTAACCACTGTGCTACATCAACTGGATTTTTTTTTAACAATTGCTCCAATCTATTCGTGGGGAGCAACACGTGTTGGGAACCGGGCCCATCGTCCCTTATAATTGGAATACATTGATGATTAATGAAAATTTGGGATGATTCAGGAACCTTCAGGATGATTGAGATAATAAGGAAGATAACCTAAGACCCACTATTCAAGGGTTGATTGTTATATTGGCTAGTAAAATTTCCAATTGGAGAACAAATATCAGGGGGGCCAGGGGACAGCCTTGACGAAGGGACTGGGTGAGTGGGAACTGTTCAGATTGCACCCCATTGACCAACACCGTAGACGTCGCCCTTGAGTACATTACTCTGATTCAAGTTCGAAACTGTTCCCCAAACCCCATGCCGACCAGTGTAGTATTTACAAAGGTCCAACCTACCTTATCGTAGGTTTTCTCCATGTCCAACATGAGAATGGCAGTTTCTTTTTTTTATTCTCAAATTCTCAATAATCTCCAAGGCTTGTACAGTGGCTAAGAGCCCTTTGACAAAAGCCCCTTGCTCACCACCCACCAAGTTTGACAGGACCGGGGCAAACCGTAGGGCTAAAATTTTTGCCAACAACTTATATGATACATTTAGTACTGAAATCGGTCGCCAGTTGAGAATTTCACGCTTGTTCCCTTTTGTGTAGATCATAGATATCATTCCTTGTACCATTCCCTTAGGCAGCGAGCTGGTGTCCAGGGAACTGTTATAGGTGTCACAGAAAAACTGACCAAAGGAGTCCCAAGTTGAAAGGAAGAATTCGATTGGTAGGCCGTCCGGTCCCAAGTATTTGCCCTTGGCCATCTTACGGGCTGCTCTAGTTGCTTCCTCCACTGTGATAGGATTATCTAGTAATCTCCTAAGATCCGCTGAAATGCTCTTAGGTCCATAGTTCAGTAAGGGTGGGATTCTTCTATGTTTGTTTCAAATGAGTCAAAGACTCTTCTTGTAGAGACAATGTCCTTGAAGTATTTCATGGCATACCGACACATATTCCCGGGATCATTCAAGGAGAATGGGTGAGTCAGTTCCCTCATCACCGGCCCGACTTTCGTAGGATTAGTGCTCTGAAGATTTCTTTTGTCATGCGGTCATTTCCCATTATACTCCTGATTCTAAGTCATTCATGTCTTTCCACTTGTTGGCGGATTTTCAATTCCTCAATTTCTTTTAGGGCCTTGTTTTTTTTTGTATCCCAATAATATTCTAAGAAGGGGTCTGAACCTTAGTATTCCTCAGCATGTTGGATAATTTGGACTAGTTGTTTTTCCTTCCAAGATCTTGCTGCAACTTTCATTATCGAAAACTCTATCATAGCTGCCTGGAGAATACTTATCCCTACGTCCACCCAGTCTGCTGGGTTCTAAAATAGGGCTCTCCCCAACTGCCAGTTTTGCATCTGGTCCTCCACCCACTGAATGACCCCCAGGTCTTTTACGATGGCGATGTTAAGTATGAAAGGGAAGTTTTGTCTGTCTACCGCGTCCTGCGAGACTAATTCCATCAACATCGGATGGTGGTCTGACAAGGAACTTACCGTAACGCCGGACCCTATACATCGGTTTCATACCACCACCCTCACCAGTATTAGATCTAAGTGTCTTTTTGGTCGGGGGGTCTACTTAGACGGTCGTGGACCCTGCCAAGTAAAGCCTGGATCGTCTGGGTTTAATGTTCTGAATACATCGAGCAGATTTTGGAAATCCATGAAAGAGTTCAACATTAGGGCGTCATCCCTAATTGAGAACACATTGGGGGAGTCCAATCCTGGGCTGTATTGCTCTCCGTACGTCGTACGGTCGTACGGGGCCTCCGTCGTACAGTGGTCCGAACGGTGACCGTATGACGTGCGAAACCGGGCCCCCTGGTGCTCGTTTCAAAGTGTCGGTGGTTCGAGGGCGTGGCGGGAGGGGTCGGGGAGGGGGCTGTTGAAAAATTTTATTTTTTTTCTGTTAAGATTTAGGCGGGAAAAAAAAAACAAAAAAAAACAGGCGGGACGCTCGACGACAAATGCCGTCGG